CTTGGCAATGTTTTTTCTTTCACTTATGAGAAAGAGGCTGGTCCCTTGGCTTGTGCACATTTAAATAGCTGACTTTTTATGTTAAGCAGTGATTAAGTCCTTAAGGTTTATTTGTAACTTGTTCCTAGTTGCTTATCGTTAGCTGGAGATAGCTCTCTTGCACTGATTTAAATCCAGAGAGCTCCTCTGATGTTAGCACTGTTGATGCAGAGTACACTGGGATAAGTAGAAGGAGTCTGGTCCATTGCTGAACTGCAGTGGTGGAAGTTTGTAATAAAACATTAAAGCTAGGAAGGTGCTTTTGAATCCAAGAATCTGAACTCAAGTCTGTGCTCTGTTATGTCCCCTGTGTGATTTGGAGAAGTGAATTAAATCTACATCTTCAGAGGTGTTTAGACAGCTGAATACCTTTGAGGATTTGATTCTTGTTCATCCCTGTATTTGTTCTTCATCTGTTAAACTGATGCATACATACACTCTTATGAGGTTGCTTACTTTAACTGCTGTGAGGTATGTCATCACTGTGGTTAGTGGAGTCCTCACCAAATATTTTATCCAGATAGGCTGGAAACTTTAAAACAAGAGAGTTTGGAAGAGGAGCTTATGTTTAGAGTCACTGTTGAAAAAACAAACTGGTGTGAGTTAAATGATTATCTGAAGGATGCCTGTGTCTTTTTAAAGGATTGGGCAATCCTGGTTAGTGAGATGTGGTAACTGGACCAGCACAGACACCAGATTCTTGGGGCCAGCTGCCCTTCCCTTCCTTCCTAGCCTTTGCCGTGACTAATGTATACCCTTTGGCTGGGATTCTGCTGTTTGGCTGCTTCTTGTTTATATTTTGTGCCTACTTCAAAAGATGCCTGGTCTAAAAATTAGCCCTCTCTCTGGAAAGAAAGGGGCTAGGGAATATTTCAGAAAGCTTTCCTGATTAGCACTGCAGCCCATGTGGCGGTGACAGTATCCTGAATTGCACTTGGGTTTTGTGTCCTGTTTATGAAATGAAACCCAAGACTTCAGACTTCCAGACTTGTTTGGAGAAGTCTCTGGAGAAGGCAGAATTATCTTGAAGGGCTGGTTGGGAGGGGAGGGATGGTATTTTTGTGGATTGGACAAACGAAGTACCATGAATTTCTTGTCATGGAGCCAAAAG